CTGTATGTTTAAGTCAGATCTTATTTATATAACCAAAAATCACAAATTTCCCTCAAAATGCTTCACAATGAACGGATCCAATATATACTACAACAGGTCTGTCCACTCTGTAAAGGACAACCAATCTTTGCACTTGGTAGAAGTAAATAATAATTTTACAACTTGCTTTAGAAGGTGACTGTCCTCCCATAAAAAAACTAACCATAACCCATTTACGGTTGTTTGAGCAAGCAGCTTATTATGACCCAGTTACATTTTATTGTTAAGTGACATTTAGTGGTCATTTAAGACGGCATAAGTCTTTGTAGCCAATACCCCAAAATGATGTATTTATGTTCCAATGACATAACCCTCTAGTGACTGTAGTAATTACAACAGATGCAAAGGAGGAAGGTAAGGGACATCGTTATGTAGTGACAAAGTCTGCACGGGGTGGAGGTCGGGGTGAAAAAAAATGAGCCAGTGAAACATTTCATTTCCCAATTCCAAGCAACATTTACAGTTTTTTGCAGTTGCTAACATCCATTTGTCCGTTCTGTATTCACATTTTCAAAACTCTAAACACAATTATCACAACATCTGTCTGTTGTGACCATACCATTAATACAATTAATGTCGTTTTCACACAAGATTTAGTCAATGCACACGTTTCTAAAATGCTTACATTTTCTTTTCACACAAGCTTACCCCATAGCAAAATAATGGATCTTTCAAATATCTCTAACAAATGCTTAAACACATCATGACAGAATTGAAGACCTAATGATCCAAACTTTAAATATAATGTAAAGCCTCTACTTTTGCCACAACAGCTCAAAGAGCTGATAAGAATTATTGTTCTACTTGGGAAACAGCTGGTTCCAATTTGTCAGAGAGGAGCAAATATCACAATGTGCGCTGCAATCTCAAGTGCTGGTTTGGTCCTGCAGAAAATCCAGATAGGTCCCTATAACACAGAGCGCCTTCTTTTGTTTCTAGATGACCTTCATCAACAACTGGTGCCAGAAGCAGAAAGGGAACAAGTGGGAGGAAACATGACAATATTTGTTATTGCACAGGACAACGTAGCATTCCACCATTCACAAGCAGTCACAAATTGGTTTGCAGCCCATCCGAGAATGATTTCACTTTTTCTTCCTCCATACTCTCCACTCCTTAATCCCATTGAGGAATTTTTGTCTGTGTGGAGGTGGAAAGTCTATGATCATCGACCACATGATCAAATGTCCCTTCTGGATGCAATGGAGGCTGGCTGCAGAGACATCTCAGCTGAAGATTGCCAGGGGTGGATAAGGCATTCTAAACAAATGCTAATACCGTAAAGCCTTTACTGCAGCAATTCTGCCCTTTTTTTTATAATCCATAAAGTACTGATGGCTCCACTGTACATATACTATACGAAATTTATCCACACACACAATTTTAGTGTGTTTACAGTAAGGCTGACTGAATTACTGTATTTCTACATTTTTGGATATCAAAGATGGTTTTCATATTGTATACAGTTCAATGAGAAGTAATGTCATTTTTGTAAAGTGATTACTTTTTTACATTTTGACAGTCTGTGCACTATGACTGACTATATGTTCCTGTTGGATAGAAAACTAGTGCTAATGTTTTGATCAAACGACTCAATTATGAGTCAGGTTTGCTGTGTTTTGATAAAGTTAGTATATGTAGAAAATGGTATTTTGCATTGTGAAATGTAAAGTTTGTATTTATTTAACAAAATGTGGTTTTGGTCCGAAAATGAACCATTTGGCCAGGTGTGTGATGTAACTGTGTTGCTGTGTTAAGAGTTTAGAAAAAGTATTTTAAGTATTGGTCAATGCTTGTTAGCAACAGAAAAAAACTGTAAAATGCCTTGTTAACTCTTCTATAACTTTAAAGACATTTGATGTCAAATGTCCACTAACCATAACAAATCCCGCTCTTTCCCCATACAATGCTGTTGTTTCTTTTTCAAGGTGATTTTAACAGTTTATCCATGACCTTTTCTCCTGTTCACCTTAAGGGTACTAATTCAGGAAAAGGCACCTACGGTATGTGTCGTATGTGTCAGACAGAAGCGGCTGGAGCACTTGATGTTTATATGAGCTGCTGTGATTGTATTCAGCTACACAATTAAACATGACTGCACTGATGCTACAGTATGCATTCAATACAACAATGGCAAACAAGCATGAAAAACAAAAATGTGGAAAATGAAAAAGAAAAAAGATTGGAAGGAGGTAAAAAAAAAAAAGAGAGATGGAAGGCGTGAACAGAGGAAGAATAAAGGACCAGATGCACCAAAGGGCAGAAGGGGATGCTGGAGCCAACAGCGCAAAGTACCAGCTCAATGGGCCATGAGGGAGAGAATTCTGTCTCCTGGAATATTTTCTTGAGGTCACCAAGCATAACATCACAGAAACAAAAATGTCACCATGGTCACAGCTATATCAACAGACACAGAAGCACAGCCAAAAAGTCTAATCTGGACCTAGTCCTCTTTCATTCTCTCCTCTCAGGTTTTTTGGCCGGAACACTGAACACTTCAGCAGATCCTCTGCACTCTCATGGCTACAAATGGACTGACTGACTTACATGCGTTAATTCATCATTTATGGCAGACCAGCTAAACCATTATTTTAAAACATTTTAAGAGTTCGAAGAGCTAGAATATCTGTGGCCTGATATATTTTCTGCTTCACTCTGATTACATCTGACTGTTCACATCTCTCTCACCCACACCTGAGCAAAAATATCTTTGTACCTTGGAAAGTTAAATCAGGTTTGCCTACATTCTGTGAAGCATCATCTCTGCACAGTCCTGTCACCTGGTCTGGGACAGCACTGCTTTTGCCCTTCAACAGCCTAGACATCACAAATTACAGGTGTAATCTGCTGTTATGAAACATCCAAAGTTATTTTACCACTAAAACAGCTAACTAAAACCTCTGATGTCTAATGTGGTGAGGTCAGAAGTGCATCTATCTAAGAGGGAGTTTGTTCCAGCTTAACTGGCTTGACAAATGCAAATACTCTCTAACCTCCATTTTCAACCTTCCTTGAAAACCCTGTCAGCTTAATGGCTTCTGTGTTAAGCTGATAACTGCAAAGGTCTCTCTTGCTCTTTGGAAGTAGGCAGATAGAGGTGCAAAAGCCTTTGTGTAAAGCCACTGTGAAACATAGCCTGGCCTCTTTTCCCTTCTCCCTTTGAAGTGAATTCACATTCAGCTCGGGGTTTTGTTTGAAAATGTGCTCCACCTCCAAATTCCTCTGTTTTCCTTTTCTAAACTTCAGCGCATTACACAAAATTGAAGGAAGCCTCTTGTCCTTGAGTGCAACTTAGTGGTAGTCTGTCTTTTGTTTGATTTCTTTCACAAGTTGATTGAGGGCGCAGTCATACAGGGCAGATGGAAGAGGATACTGTGGAAGGCCGAATGGTGGGAACCGAGGAGTCTGTCAAACTCCATCTCTGCTATGAAAATAGGCATAGATGGACACAACTCTCAGTACAACCACAGGACGTAGTGAGTGAGTACAGGGAAGGGAAGGACATGTGACAGGATACCAGAGCATCGTGCCACTGTTGATGACAGTCAATTTGTCTAAGAGTCAAGGGGCTTTGAGAGGTGAACTATACTGCAGACAGCAGCAGGGTTGATAGTATTAATAAGGACCTCCTTTCCATGGGCATACTGTACAAGTCTCAAACATTATGTACTATACAGCATAGTAGATCACTCATCCATCCATTTGTAGATTGTTCTCACCAGAAAATTGAGGGCATTGTTTTGTTTAAACATATCATAAAAACACAGTTTCTGTTTATTTTCTGACATGTATATAACACCTTCCTCTCTTCCTGCTCTATGTGGGCACTATGGCTGTTGCTATTCACCTGATAGAGGGGAGTTTAGATGTACAGGATCATGTGTTTTTCTGGTTGTGCAATGTTGGGCTTAATTGTGGAAATCTGCCAAATGACAAAACACATGAGCCTGTAGTGGACATGCTTGTGTAGCTTAGGATGGTGATATGACAGAAATTCACCCTCAAGAGTTTCTAATTCTAGCCTGGAAGAAATACAGTGGATGTAATTACAGGATCCAGCCAGTAGGGAGCAGACATTTCATACTATCACGGCAGAGCTATCTGGATGTAAGAAAACAGCAGCTCTTTTTATACCCAGGACTACATGAGCAGTGAATATTACTGAGGACGTTGAGTGCAGCATAACATCAGCATCCAATGAAACTATCCAATGAATAATCTACACTGAACTTGTATGTTAAAAAAATAATATTACTACCTACAGTATCGTCTTTTTATCACGTGATTCATTATGCCATCCACTTCAAATTGCATTAATTTTTAAAAGAGTGACAAAATAATTCATTGTTAAATAGCCAGTGTTAAAAACCTTTACTAAGTGGGAATATTTATGCATTTTAATAGTTTGATTATTCTGATTTAGGCCCGGAAATAGTGGCAGTATAAAATTGAAATCACTGGCTTATTTAACGGTATTATGAATAAATATGAATGTGAAGATGAGTCAACATGGAAACATGTTTCTCCCCCTCTCTGCCCCTACTTTGTTTGTCCACTCGCCTGCTATCCCTAAGGCGTGTCCGTAATTAGTCTGTAGGAGTCTGGTAAAACACACAGCTTCATAATGTGTGTGTGTGTGTGTGTGTGTGTGTGTGTGTGTGTGTGTGTGTTGAAGCAAGCCCAGTCCTTTAGCTCGCCTGGTCTCTCATTATTAATAATATAAGTATTATAATAATGATAGTTAATAATTGTAGTTGTAATTACAAAAGCCAGGTTGTATTTTTTAAATAATTTAATTGTCAGTTACATTATTTAAAACGACTTTGACACAAAATTTCTCTGCTTCTAACTCTTATTATGTAAATGTTGATCTTTTAACTAACGTGAGGCTTTTGGACACACGTGTGTGGCAAGTTCCCAAATTTCTGCTGAAAGATGAGAACAAGGTCGAGGGTGGGCAGGGCAGCGCGGGACAGGACAGGTATGGGGTTTTATAAGGAGAGGGAGCTGCTCTTGCTCTAAACGGGCTTCCCCAAAGCTTTGCTCATCTGTCCCGCGCCAGGAGCTCGGCATTGTGGCCCGGTCTACTATCCGCTTGTTTTTGGAAACAGTGTCAGAGAGCAGCTGAGAGAGGCTTAACATTTCAAAAGTCTGGCGGCACTCTGCAAAGTTTCCACCCTGTGAAGGCTGTGGCTGTAGTTTTAGTAGCAGACTGTAGCGGGACGCAACACATCACGGCTTGGTGCTAAGAATTAGTTTTCTGTAATATTGAGGAGCACAGTCTCCGTAATACTTTTAATGCATCATTTTAGTTTCTAACTGAGGGAAGCTTATGCATTTACATTAGGAGAGTCTGTTGCAACCTGTGATTTCACAGATGCTGCGGTGCTGGAATTGTTCTGTTTGTGCGTAAAACAGCACCCCTGCTGTGCTTTACCAGGTCCTCTGGATTTATTTTTACATCAATTAATAAGTATTTATAACCATCACGTTTGCTTTACTGTATCTTGACTTAAAATCCTGTTCTATCTTTTGCTGAAAGTCTGCTCAGCATTAGGAGAAACACAAAGCGTTAAAAGCGTGATTCCGGTGCTATTTGCCATAGATGTACTCTGTGCCGAAAGGAGACCGACAGCTACACACTACGGCAAAATCTGACATCCTAAAATCTGAAGAAGTCGTTGACGTGACAAGTTCTGACGGATGCGCCGGGCAGCACGGTTGCTCCTGGAACGAAGGCCAGAATAAAGTGGCCCTGTCTCCAGAGCGCCAGCAGCAGAAACCACGCAAGATGACTCGGAGCCCCAAATGCGCCCGCTGTCGGAACCACGGCGTCGTTTCATGCTTGAAAGGCCACAAACGCTTCTGCCGCTGGAGGGACTGTCGCTGTGCCTGCTGCCTGCTGGTGGTGGAGCGGCAGCGCGTCATGGCAGCGCAGGTCGCTTTGAGGCGGAAGCAAGCTGCGGAGGTAAGGGGGCACAAGGGCAGCTAAGTGATGGAGAAAGCATGGGAAATAAGATGAATAAACCGTCACCTCCACTATGTGATTATAAGGAATAGTCCTTAAAAAAACAAAAAGAAAACAAGCAAGAATAAAAATCTGTGGGTCAAAATGTCTCTATTGGCAACATTAAATCACTGAAAAAAAGGCAAAGGGACTTAAGGCCGGAATATATTTTTGTTTATCACTGCATAATTTTGTTACCTGTTCATGCATCTGTTTTCTGAAGTGAAACACTTTACAGAAGTGCTGAGAATAAATGTCTGGCAGAATTTGGGCCATCTATGGCAGCACATAGGGGAAAGCTTGATTTCATTTGCCCTTAAAATGTAGAAATATAATAGCCTGAAACATACATTTTCATTCTTTATTACTTATTTTATCTTTTACACAACATAATGTCCATCTCTTTTGCTTTTTTTTTTAAGTTAAATCAGCTGTGTTTTACCATTTGGGGCTCTGGATGTTCGACTGAGAGCTGTCAGTTTGAATATTTAAGTTCTATTTAATCAGTTTTATTCTGATCATGTTTTTCTTTATACAAGAGATACATTAAAGTCCATATTACACCACAAGAAAATAGTCATCTGAAATATAAAATATACAGTAATTAACTTGCAAGTCTCTCAGAAGATAGTTTAACATAACTTTGTTTCATAATAAGGTGCTTAAACAGTTTGTTTTTACAGGTGAAAGCAAAATGTAGAACTTTTAATTATAAAATATTAACAGTCGAGACTCGTGGGGGACAGTCTCATTATAATATGAAGTCCAGATATCTAATTCCTGTTCCCATGTTTCTTCCAGGGTAAAAGGTGGGTCAGGTGTGCAGCTCCGTTACAGAGGGCAGGGTATCAGCGTTACAGCAGAGCGGCAGAGACAAGCATCCTGGCTAAGAGCATCCTGCAGGGTAAATTCACATCCCTTTTCTCATTAATACATATTTTTTCTTCCTGACTAGGATAGAAAACACAGTTTTTAGCTGATCAGATGAAACCCTTAAATTATAATCTAAATACCTTTTACATTTTGCTTAAATTTCATTCATGCAACATCAAAAATTAATCGACTTGGTATGTTGTCTGCTAGGGGAGGAAGGCATTCACTGCTGACTTGTCAAACTAAAGTCTTTTTTACTTACTGTATAAAGGATTCATTCACATTCTGGGAAATAAAACAAAAACGAGAGCAATGTTTTGTTCAATGGTGTTAGGACATTAAAACCCCGAAGGTTTACCCAGAACCGATACATGCAACATCACAAGCTTTATCCTATGCCTAGCTAAAGACCAGATTCTAAGCCTGAAATGCATTGTTGACCTTGTGGGAAACCCTTTCTTCAGATGTTCGTCCCCATAAACAAACAGTGTTAGTTACCACACATGTGAATTGTCTACATCTGTATATATTAAATACATACTCAGAGACAGTACTGAAATTGCACCTGAATTTACAGAGCCTCCTTGGGCTGACACTGCCTGTACTTCTTTGTGGACAGTATTACACACACTTAATTGATCTGAACAAGCCTGATCATTGTGGCTTCACTGTCACAACAACAGGCAATTATTGGAACAGACAGTGTGTAGTAGCACCTGCTGGCTTGCAGTCAAAGCCTGCTAGTGGCTGTGCTTTCTTTATAGCCCTCTCAGCTTCTCTGTACTCTCAGTAAAGTAAAAATGATATTGCTAACCAACTGTATAAAGTGTTAAATAAACTACTCAAGCATAAACACAACAATTAACTGGGTGGAACAATTTCCTAATTCATAAATAGCTCAGTACATAATAGCAGCATGTGGCTTTGCCTTCCATGTGCAGGATTAAAACCAGTGGTACCGCTAGAGGACGACACTTCTTCCTGGTCCAAGCAGGCACAACACAGACAAACACACTTCATGTGCCCCTCCATCAGTGCGCGGATGAGGAAGAGGCGAGCCTTCGCAGACAAGGAGCTGGAGAATGTGATGCTGGAGCACGAGCTGAGACAGAGAGAACTGCAACATGATCTTCCCTTCTCCTTCTCTGGCTTTGTCCCTGTTCATCGCCCTCCACCCCTGCACATCTCCCCCAGCCTCCAATACTGCCCTCTCAACAAGGACCCTACTGGTGCAGGGACATCCAACTATGTGCCTTTGTATAAATATAAGCCTCTGAATGAGTATGACTTCCAGTTCTATCAGTTTTTCCACCTGAAAAGCAGAGATTCCACAGAAAGTGATCACAGTGATATCATGTTATGTCAAAGCTCAGAGCAAACCAGGGAGGATGAGGAGGTGCAAAATAACGAAAGGAAAGACTGCCAAGAGCTGATAGCTCTACCATCACAACAAAGACTCAGACAAGACAGAAGAACCTTGCCAGGTCTAGACCTTGTCAAATCCCCTTCAAAACCAAGAGAAATAATGGACTTAAATGGCTCACCAACTGTCACACGCTTTATTCTTGGCTCAGATCTAGGTATCATGGGCCGACCAAACGTCACAGCACCCAGCAAGACTTTTGAGCCCAGACCTCTGACAGCCAAGGACTGGAGCACAGACACTCCTGCCGCCCAGGCAGTTCCTCATGCTGACTCTGTCAAGAGCCCTCACAGTAGTTCAGTCAGGACTCCAACCGTGAGGCTGTTACCTTTCTCTGTAGAGGCTCTGCTGAGGAGCTGACAGACAAATGGAAAGCAGTGTAGTAGTGCACTTTATGTGCAGACTAGGGGTGTATAAAAGTATATATATATACAGTATAATATATATATATAAGTAAAACAGAATAAAGAATAAATACTACTGCAAACTACTAATAAGTGCTCTACTAAACAAACAGGGAAAGGCTGTTTAAATGTTTGCACTATGCTCATTTTCTTTGCAGTAGTGATACCCAAATTGTTTCGAGCTGCCAAAAACATGCCAGATTAAAACAGAATGAACATAATAAATGGCTGACCAGAGCACAATAAACAAATTAGACATTTTAACCACTTGTCTGTGTCCGTTGTTGCATTTCGCCAGAAAACCAAAGTGTTCCCAAACAGGAGACCTTCATAATAAAGGAAGGACTTCTAGCTCTGGCTTCTCGTTTGCACTGGCCATTGCGCTCCAGTCAGCTACTTAACATGTTTGTGTGGGAATGTGTATTTGAAAAAACAAGCCTACTGTATCAAAACGGTTCTGTATGAATACGTGGACCTTCACAACCCTAGTGCAGACTACAAACTGATGTTGAGGGAATGGATATAAAACTGTCTATTGTAGTGTATTAACACTTTTCTTGACAAGGGCTGGTTTCTTTAAAGCCTTAATAGATAAAATATTTTTAAATCATTTCCAGAACATAAATTACTGTTTGTATTTTTTATTTTTCATAAAAATTTATTTTAAAATATGGCAATGAAAACTATAGTCTAGTTTTATTTACCTACCTACAGCGAGCATTTTTTGTAAAAAATGTACACTTTAAATATATAATCCTGTTTTATACTTCTCTGTCAGCACTGTGTACTGAACCACGCTACTATGACCCTCTCACGCCAACTGTATTTTAACACCTTTTCCTGCAGAAAAACTATGCAGTACATCTGTAAAACAGTTGATGAAAAAGTTAAATGCTGTTTGAAGCTGTGCTCATTTCATACTTTATGCTTTGATTTTTACATCTAAAGTCTTGCTGTGGTTGCCTGATCTCTGAGCTGCTCTCGGGTATCGCAGTGAGAGTGCTGCTCAGAAATCTCTTTTTAACTAATAAGAAAACGGAAGAATGAAAGGTGAAGTAGGTGGTTTGTCAAGAAGAAGAAGAAGAAAAAAAGTTTCCAAAAATGTTTCTATAAGAGAAGAGAAATGGCTGTTGGTAAAGCCATCCAACCCCGGTATTTTAAATAACCTAAAACTGACTGATCACACACCATACTCTTAAACCTTTCATACAGTTTCATGTCATCACACAGGGAAGATGGGAACTATTCACCAAAGGGTGAATCGAAGGCTGCCAGTGTTGCCTAGGTGACATTGTTCTTTATTGTGTGCCAAGTTTGTTTGGACATGCATTTGGTCTATATCCACTTTCTACTTTTTCTCTCCTTCTCTGTTTTTTCCTTTGTTTTGTGCTGTAATCTCACAGAGATGGAGGTCAGATACTTTGACAACTCTGGACCTCGTGGCATCAACATCGAGTTGATAGTGTGCTGCTCCATGTCTTTGTTTGAGAGTAGCTACCAGCATATCAGAGCACCCATCTCCCCTTCTTCTCATAGACAGACACAAAGGGGAGTGTGACACAAAGGAAGATGAGGTTGTGAGCCTGAAAGAGATAAATACATGCCACTGCATTTCATTGTTCACTATCTGCACCAATTTTACGATATTAAAACCTTTTGCTTGTAGAGATTACAAATCGCCAGTTTTACTATGATGATAAAACGATAAGAGTACATCACAAACGGGTGACAAGGACTTCTATGAAGAATAACACAAAGAATATAAATTCATTTTTTTGCCTAGCAAAAGGAAGGGGAAGAGCTCCTTCTTCAACTTTCCTCATGTTTCATTCTGGTGTGTCGTTAGACAAAGTGTGTGAAGCCTTAATTGAGAGCCACTCACATTTGTGTTCTTGTTAGAACCGTGCCAGGGAAAGACAGATTAGCTTTATTGTTCTGTGCTCTTTGGAAAGCTCTGATTTGATACGCAATCAGTTTCAACAGGTTGAAACATGTTTTTGGATTTGTAAAAGCCCTTCTCATTCCACACCCTTTGCCTTTTGTCACCCACCTCTGGTTCTCCTGCTATTCATTTTCAGCTTGTGCCTCATTTCCATTTCAGCCGGATTGATTTCACTCTGTTTAGGGTATAAAAGCTTTGCTTTGGCATTTCCCTGTAACATACAGACTCTATCAGCAGCAACAGTGAGAGAGAGAGAGCAAGTGGGAGGGGGTGATGCGATGCAGAGTTAGTCCAACAAGTACTCTAAATTCTCTAAAGCTCTTTTATTTCACCTCCACCCTGTTGTTTGTCTTTCCCTCCTGCCATCAAGAGCCAAGTCTTGCAGTCTTTACACAGGCACCATAGCCCCGTTTCTAGCCATCATACTACAGCTGAATAATACAGAACTATCAAAAATGATTTTTATTTTCAAATTGTGTTCATTTGCAGTGTTTACCCCAGCTGTGTGCAAAAACAGACATGGAAGGTAAAAGCTCACTCAAGGGAGTTGTTCACAGAACTGTGGCCTCACTTCAGGACCCGAATGAAGTGGCCAGACCTCTCGACTTGTTTGGTATGAACTATTAGATCTCCCCTTGGACAGATCATCGGCAACATTTAGTATCAGGGTTCAGTGGAAAGCCTTTGATCGTCCTGCCAGCTCTGCTCGCTGCAGAGCGAGCAGCACATGTCTTGGTGGGGCAAGGTCATTTCCTTTGGCACTTTTAAGAGAGCTGCTATCTGAATTTTATAACATTGTTATAGCACATTTCAGAAAGTGAAAAACACTCTCCAGGTTACTGGGGACCCTGCTTCTGACACAGTGAAATTGAAAAGTGGGAAACAGCATAACTATTATTTTTCAGTGATTATCTGGTTAGTATCCTTAAAATCAGAGCTGCACTGACTGAGATCGGAAACACGTACATAGTGTGTGGGAGGAAAGTTTGGTCTTGATCTACCATGAAGTTGAAGGTGTGCTGCGTGGTAGCTATCACAGTTCAGGATGTACTGATGTATCATACTGGTGGTTGCTATTGAATGTGAACCTGTTGTGGTGTGGTTTGTGTTTGGTGAGCTGCAGGTGAGTGCCTATAATTGGTTTAACTGAGTGAGTAGGTACCAGCTACCATTGTGCATATGTGGGTGGAGTGGGGTGTTAATGTTAGGAACCTAGAAAGGTAATTGCTGCTTTGGTTTATTTTGTTTGTCTCCTACTGGATAGGTTGATTCACTGTCCTTTTATCACTTTATTCCAGTCCTAAATCTAACTCATTAAAAATAAAAACAAAAGGTTGATAATAATTCTATGAGAGTCAACATTAGCAGTGTTTTGTTTGACAGTAAAATTGACACAAGTCATAAAATTTTCTCTTTACTGAGAAAGATAAATTCATTCCCCAAGGACAAATACCTGAATTTCATGCATGGCTTTTTATATGTCAAGACCGCTATCTTGGGTGCACTGATGGATGTTATCATTATACTCCAGGCAGTACTCCCTCTATTTATTTCACCAAGTATCTGCAACATTGCGTATCAGGGTTCAGGGCAGAGCGTTTGATCTGTCTGCCAACTTGCTACGCACTTTGGATTCTCTCCTTTCCCACCCTGCCCTGCAACAGGCCTGCATGCTCTCTGGTGTTTGGTAGCCATGTCTGACTAAGACATACTAGTGTAGGGTTACGTTACAGCTGTGTGTGTATGCCTTTGTATTACTGACATTATGGGGAACGAAACCTGTTAACACACTCACACTGTGGGGACTCGGCCATCCATGCAGGGACCAAAGGCTGGTTAAGGTTAGGATAAGTCTACAGGAAATGAATGTAAGTCAATGTAAGGTCCCCACAAGGAATGAAGACACAGTGTGCGTGCATGTGTTTGGGACATGGTTACAGCAATCCTAGTTTGACAGGTCAGTAATAAAAGCGTCTCCATAGCATTGCCTCAGGTTGCACAATTATTTTGACGCCAGATAATGACCTCTTGAAATAAATTAATTATATAATAGTAGAAAATTGCTGTTCAGGCATCACTAGGCACAGCTAGAGTCAAAGCGTAAAAAGATGTGGCTTCGCCTCCTCTTGAAGTGCCAGACTTCAATTATCCTGACCCCTCCAGCCAATGATGTCATTGATTTAGACAGTAGAAAACAGTGTCAGGAATCATTCATCAGGTTTTGTCCAGATTTGACAGTGATATCTAAGAGATGTTTGTACTGTAAATGTTAACTTTCAGTGATGAAATCAGTGAAAGGTTTTGAAGCCTAGAACACACTGACAATCAATCAATCAATAGATCATATCATCACACAACTTATAAATCTGTCAATAAAAAGTCCAAAAAAACATCATTTAAAACTCATCTTTGTCTTCCCTGAAAACAAAAACAAACCAAGTACAAATTTAATTTCCCATTGTATTTCTGCTTCATTTACTGAGGATGTGTTTGCGAAAGTTTGAGCGTTTATGACAATTAAACAGACATTATGGTGCCCTACCATAAGTTTGTATCGGACACATTTTCAGACTAAAGTTTGACTAAAGTTCTCTTTCTAACATATGTAGCTATTCCATGAATTCCCATTGATCAGCCTCAGTTAATAGAAACAACAAGGCTTTAATAGAGAGCAAGTGTCTGGTCTGCCCCCTGACAGAAACATACCTAACTGACTGTATTGGGTTCCAGTCTAACTACCGCCACCTTCATTTAACAGAAGAACAAACACAGCAGCTCTTGGTTTAAAAGACAGCCCTGTGTGTAACTGAGCCTGCCGTGGTTGGGCTAGAAATTTCACAGCTTTAAAAACATCTTTGAAACAGGCAGGGTAGAGTTCTCTCCTGCACCTCCCCACTTACCCTCATCCTGTACTATTTAGGATTTTCCATACGCCGGTGTGGGTACGTGTGCATGTACGCACAATTATTTGTGTGTTTGCATGTTTGCAGAGCTGCCCTCTTGCTATTCCAGCAGCCTTGGGGATGACCGAGGGTGCCCACGATCACAGCTGTGTG